TTCTTATCACAACAGTAAGACAATTTTTACAAGAGACCAAATGCCCACCTAAGGCTGCTGAAACTATCAGAATCTTTTTAACTTGGCATACCTTAAACATGACAAATCAGTACAATCTTCATCTGGTTATTATACCCTGTAACTAGGTATAAAGTCACTGCAAAGTTTGGCCTGCCGAGTTATGTCTTTTGAGAGCTCCATCTGGGCTTGATCAGTTAAAAAGCTCAATGTAATTGTCTAGTGCACCAAGAGACTGTAATGGTCCTGATGGGAGTCCACTCACAAGCCCTGCCTGTGGCTTGAGAAGATTCATTTAGCCTCAGGTTGCCCTATCCTATAGGTGTTACCTCCCTGGTGTTACCCGTGTTACCACACTGGTGCTCTGGCTTGTTGCCTTGCTTTTGTTCTATGATCTCTCCATAAACTGTTGCTATTACCACTCTCCTTTGCTTATCCAGCTCAAGTGTGACCAGACTGTACCCTGGCAGTGAAAGCACTACTCATCCTGCTGCTCTCAGCTCTTTGCTCCCCTTTAACTTTGGAGTCCTTTTCTTGCTGCTGACTGGTACTCAGTGGCCACTGTTCCCATCAAAATGAATCTCTCTTAAAAGTGAGGCCCCTGAAAGTATTCAGCATATCATGCAAACAGCTGTGCATGGAACAGCTCAAATCTACCACTCACTATGAGTATACTCAGTTACGAGATTTGCCTTCAGTATTTTGCATTCTTCTTCCACTTTAGCCACTCCTTTCCAATTCTTCCTCCAACGTGCAAATGCACTTGCAGGATGCCCTGACTGGAAGGGGCTACAACAACTTGAACAATGTCCTATTTGCAAAGCTACCAATGGTAAATAAAGAAAGGGGCATCACACTGCTTTTGGTGTTGAATAAAGCTGAAACCAGTCTGAATCATCAGTCCCAAAATTAAGCATTCTGACAGTGAGATGAAGATGTGGTAGGACTTTAAAGTACCCAGATAAAGGAATAAACAAGTGATACTACCAACAAGTTATCTAAAGCTACTGAACTGACACAGCTGGCCTGGAGACTGACAGACACCCAGTCACTGTAAAAAGCCCAGTCTTGAATTTTAGCAGGAGAGTCTTCTAACACATGCCTTCTTGAAGTATACGTGTGGAGGTTCCTCCCATGAGTGGAGATGTCCTTCAAGTTTACTTCTTAGCAAAACAGATTTGCCCACAGTCATTGGTGTGGGTGAGTAACATTAATCTCTATTTAATAATTGTTTCTGCTAGCTTTAATACACGTGCTTTAACATAATTGCTTCAAAATTGTTTTATAATGCACTATATTATAATAGTTGCTATAGCTTCTGCACTGTCTAGTAAATAATTCTGACTAAATCTTTCTGTGTAATTTTTATAATAAACCATACATATTTATATAAATATATCTGGTTTGTCATCCTTAATCTTGCAGGACAAAGCTCAATTACACATATTATGTCCTTCAGACATAAACGGTTGACAAATGTGGGACTAAGATTGGATCCAGTCACACCCAGGCTCCTCTCTAAGGGATCTAGAGAGCAAAGGGGTTCTTCCTGCATCCTGTGACTCAACAGTAGTAGTTTCTTTAATAAACTTTAGATGAAGGTCCCACTGCCCACAACAAAGAGTCTAGCTGTGATTCAATATAAATGCCTTTGTATGAGAACAGCTGAAGGCAGAAAAGATCTTGCCATTAGTGTCAGGGGAAACAGCTGGAGCAATGGCCAGAGAGCCTCACGTTGCCAAAAACAGAAATGCATATTGTTCCCTACAGCCATAGTCAATTAATTTATTTCCATGATGGTATCTTACCTAGCTAACATCTCAAAATACCTTGCCTTTCTCACAATTGGTCCAAGAGCCAGAGGTTAAAATGGGAGAATATTCAGGCCATTTAATTCCTTTTACTGTAAAACTAAGCCTGTGGTTCTGCTTGGAACAGATCTGCTCTAGAGACACTTTGCAGCTCTCCTAACAATGAAGTTGCATCTGACTTACTAAATAATGTTCTCCTCAGACACAGTTATGAAGTTTCACTTTTAGTGCCCTTGCCATCTGCACATATATCAAAGACTCAGGAATAGCCAATTGCATCATCAAAAATGCAAAAACAAGCAAAAAAAAAGTGCTAAACCTCTGCCAAATTTGGAGAAAAATATCAATTATTTTTTTTTTAAAGCATCAGGAGGAGGCTAAATGAAAAGACTAAGCTCTGTTAGAACACTTTTTTCAGGAGCAACCTGTATGCTGCATCTTAAGCACAAATCCTTTGGCAAGCCTGTGGGGCATAATGTAATATTTGCCAATGTCTCAGAAAAATTATTTAAACTATAGGATATTATATAATTTGAACTTCATTAATATTAATATATTTTAATATTTATAAAATAAATTACTTTTTCCTTGTCTTTCTGGTAGTCTGTTGTATGTATGTCTCTTGTATTGTATGAAAGGATGCTTTCATACAATAAAAAAAGAAAAATAAGTTTGTCTTGAACAACTCAATCCTACTGATTAAGATTTAAATTCACTTAGAGGGAAAAAATATATATAAACATAACCTTCTCACTTTGCCAAAATATTAAATGTGTTAGAAATGTAGAAATGGAACTAGAAGCATTTTTTGACACATTTACAAGATGCAGATAGCTTTCATCATCTTTCCTACTCAAAGATTGCATGTAAGAAAGAGTACTTGGAGACTATTAGGTATCTGGTAATCAGTTGATCTTAAAAGCCTCTGAAATTATGGAATGTAGACCAGCTGACTATCAGTAACAGGACTAGTGTACACTGTATACACTAATACACCTCAGGGTATTATCAGCCCAAATACAGAAGAGAGGTTCCACAAGTAAAATTTTAATTCATACAAATTAAATTACATATTGTTCCATATTTGATTAACAAAATCAGGCAAAAATAAAGTGAAAACATTTTATTTTCAGAATAGTATTTCTGCTATTTATTTGCTATAAATACAGCAACTTCCTTTAAATATGACTCATCCAAGGGAAGCTCAGAGACTGTCTTTAAAGTATTAACCATGGTGGCATATAATTTTTCTTGGTTTGAAGGACTGTGTTCTTTCTAAAAAAAGGACGTTATAAATTTAGAAAAACACCCTATTGATTTAAGAAAAGGATGACATAAAGAGTATGTTGTTGACTCACTGTCAGCTACATCTAGAGACAAATCAACATATTTCCATGGAGAATGTCTCGTGCTTGCAGTTTACAATTGATAAGGAGGACAGAAGTGATAATATATGACACTTTCTGCTTACATATTCATTTTGTATCCTAATATACCTCTGAGACAAGTTACAAATGGTTTAAAGCAGAAATACTGAAGGAAGACATTTCTTCTTCCATCACAGATCATGGAAAAAATAAAAAGTAATATACATGAAATCTACATAACTGACACTTGCCTTAGTACCAAATTCTGAAAGATTTTTTAAGATTTGATTGTGTGACTAGATTTTGTAGTATGTCAGTCATTATCTAGATGTGCTCAGTTTGTTATATTTATGAGCAACATTTGGTTAAGCTTCTGTTGCTACAACCTCAAGCTTGTTCTTAACAGAATAAAGGAAGGAGCACACAAGAAATTGGAAGAGTAATCTGAAGAAGGCCAAACAGCTGATCATGAGAGACACATCCTTATGACCAATATCTATGGCCACAGACTCCATTTAATTTCTTTCTCTATTTCATTCACTCATTTACATCTTTAAGTTAAAATACAGGTTTCATTGTTTTGGTATTTTTTTTCTAGTATGTGCTTTCAATGTCTTAAAATCTGAACTGAGCTCAGCTTACGTTCTGACTACGATACTTCTAGCTTTTACTTTTTACTTCTAGCCATGCTTTGCCCACTGCCAGAAGCTCTCCCAAAAACTGCTCCAGTGAGGCTGAGAGTGCTAAAACCACCCTAGCAGAGGATTTCATGGCAAGGAAAAAAAGCCTCATGCACTCTCCTAACCAAATGTATTCAGGCATATCACTTTTGAAGATTATCACTGCTATTCCTGCCTACCCAGGGCATCAAAAGAAGATGCTTTTGCTACCATTGTATTACATTTCTTTTAACAAAGCTGATAAAAATTATGACCACTTAAATGGGTTTTGAGAGGTGGGATGCACAGATAAGATTACAGGCATCCCAAATAAGTACATGAATAACTCCATCCAGAGGAGTATGATTGTGATCCACAGCATTAAAAACATTGTTCAATTGCTTAATGCAATTAATATTTGCAAAAAGTGTATTTCAAAATTTACAGTAATGAAAATCTCTATCCCTAAAAACTCAAAATGCCTTAGCAAGTTACAGTAACAAACTGCCTCTCTGAAGGGGGCTAGAGAGCAGAAAGAATGTGCAAATCTCAAAGAAAAACTGGCATGTCTTAAAGACCAGTGGGAATACTCAATGAAGGAATCTGGCACATGGACAAGGTCTGTAGTAAAGGTTGATTTACTCCTTTTAAAGGCACTCTTTTCAATCACCTAGCTCTGGAGCTTTGGGAATTGTTGTTCTGATCTAAAGTTTGATTAGCATACAACCACTTTTATCTAAGACAGTAATGTTGAGTTTGTTTATCCAGACTGCAGGCTAACAAGGTCAAAGATGCAGAGACACTATACACTGCATATGTAGATCTTACCAGTTTTACAATCTTTCAAGTCTCACCTGTGAAAGCAACACTTTGTACAAATGTGACTAAAAAGCTTTCAGAGCCAGGCCACACCTCAAAGAAGTGCAGCTGCTGGTTCCAGATGCCCACATCAACAGCCTGGATGATGATTTGCCAGGCTGGTGTCTGGCCACTCATGAGGACTGCAGGTTACACTCTGACCAGTCCGTGACAGCTTAGCTAAGGATGTGTTCATCCTGTACATGCAACCTGAGGGACTCAGCTTGGGCTTGGCACTCTCCGGGGGATGACCCAGTTCCATTCCTGGAAACTTGAACATTACTTACCATAAATCTTTGGAAATGGCAGGATGAGTGCTGGGATACAGATGAGAGCCACAGAAGGTACATTTGAACATCTGGGAGCAAAGAATGCAAAAATAGAACATTTTAAAAATATGAAAGGTAGGCCAAAAACCCAGAACAAATTAAACTGCTTCCAGAAGTTATTTCATTATTTTTTCCTTTGTATTACTTGTGTTGTTTTCAAGAACACAGTACTTTTACTCTCTAAGATAATACAGTAATGCAGGAAGACCAAGGCTACAAGACAGGGGAAGCCATTGCATCACTTCTCCATTTCAGGCTCTCTTCCTGAAACAAGCTATGCCAATGGAATGTGTGACACAGTGTGAAGTATGTGCTCACCGTATCCAACTGCCAGAAGTGGTATCTGTTGTAGAGAGAAGATGACAACATCTGAAAACTGAAGCTGCTACTTGTGTAGCACATCTTTTTTGTTCTACACCTGTAAAACCAACCAGTCAAAGTCTGCCAGGAAAGAAAATCTATCAAAAATAAAGGAAAAGAAAGAAGGCGATCAAAAGAAAAATTAAAAACACAGAGAAAGAGCTCAGTGGATGAAAGTTAATTGTCAGAAAGTTATCAATATGAGAGAGTATATAAAATAGACATAGGAAATCAACTATAATTATAAAATACTTTGCAATTAAACATGAAACAAAAGTATAGAATGAAATTTGTCTGGGGAAAGAAAATCTAATAAGATTGTGGAAATTGCAGAAAAAAAAGTTATATGCAAAATGAATGAGAAAAAAAAAGTAGAATCAGAAAATGGATTGCTTCAAAATGACAGTGAGTTATAAATATTTTCTGAAAAGCTGTGTCAATGGTACAAATGTATGCGCCACAGTGTGAAATAACTAATTACAAATAGAGCTAAAGTGTAAGTCTCTAATATCCTTATCCTTGCATTGACTTTCCTCAGCTAAGCAACAAAGTAAAAATGATCTTTATTTGGTAGGAATAATCTAAGCCTTAAGGAATCCTACAAAACATTATACTGTCACAACTTTATATAAATTAGTTTGTATTGCAGAACATAAAAAAAATATTTTAAACAGTATCAGCTTAAGCTCCACCAAAATATTACAAATTTAAGCTTTATTAAGAAAATGGCACATATGTCTAAAAATAAATGTTGAATAAAAATACTTTAATACTTGTTTTATATGTTTTCTGTAGCATTTAAAAATATTTTAAAATGCTTATTCAACAACAGAACATAGAGTTGAAACTGATTCAAATCAAAGTACCTTAACTGCAATGATATATAAATGATTTTCCTTAATTAGAGCTATGTAAAAAATATAAGTAGTGCAAATGAAACATTATTTGTTAGCCTTGTGCCAACTGGATTGTATTCAGGGAATGCAATTTGCACCACTCTATTTAAGCTTTTTCCTAACAATTGCCATTGTTAGGAAGGTAAATATGTCTAAAGGACAACTTTTTTCTACATAAATAATAAATATGCCTAATAATATGCCTACTCAGTATCTATCTTTATTTTAAACAGTTTTCATTATAAATTGCTGTGTATATCAAATTTTCTGTTCATTATAGTAACAATTAAGTCTAAATACTTAACCTTAATGACCCCTGGTAGCAAATTTCAAATTTATCAAAAAAATGGCAGTCTTGAGTACTTATCTGTTAGATAACTGAATGTTATAACCTTCACCAGAAGCACAGAATGAAGATTCACTGGAGTTTTCCACATAGTTCAGACTTTATCTAGATCATGAAAAAAATAACAAAGCAGCAGGACAAAATACCAAAAAAGTGAATTATGCTTATATCTGTAGATACAATAAAACAACTCCAAGCCTGCACAGAATAATGAAGTCTGTGGGGAATTTTAGCCTAGCCCATTGTTTTATGAGGCTGAAAGGATTCTCGCAGTGATTCAGGTAAGAAGTGGGTTTCAGTATTTCAATTTCATTCAGTTAAGAAGTGGCAAATGTGGGTTTTGAACTCAGAAAGCTTATGGAGTTTTGATGGGCCTATCACATAACACTTTAGCTTTTTTTGAGACTATTAACTTACATTCAAATGAAAACAAAAGTTGCCCAAATGATGCACATCTTCAATCAAAAATAATGTGACAATAAATATATTTCACATCAAGATGCAGAAGTTACATACTGTATCAGAAAATACACACCTTACTTCTTTTTTGACAATGGATGGACAGGAGTTAGAACAGATTTGGAGAACCATACATGCTTGAGTAGAATTTTCTGCTAGACCTGAATGCTGAAGCTTCTTTTCAGCTACAAAAGATGGCAGAATTGCTTTCCTAATTGTACATCCATGTTCACAAATGGAAAAGATAGTATCAGTTCAAGCATGGTAATTTACAGAAGAAAAAAACTATCTTTAAAATTCTCTTAAAACTCAATGAGCAAAAACATGGCCGTAACTTCTGTCCTGACTACTGATTAAGTGCACCTTGTCTACATGCTGCTCAGTCACAAGAATATCTAGGATTTGATGGATAAAGAAGGAATTAAAACCAGGAAACCCTCACACATGCAACAGGCAGGAATATATACAGTAATATACACTTATTACATCTGACTAAAAGTTCTTACTAGAATCAAAGCCAGTACCAACTCTTACAGTACTCAAAGCCAACAAAAATTATTCATTCACTGATGTAAGGCATATTTCAATGTAAATATTGAATTTATGTGTTTATTCTCCCTTCTATTTCTCTCATTCAAGGAGCCATCAGTTACATCACTAAGAGGATGGCAATTTGTAGCACTGTTTGAATCATTCAGTCCAAATGACAGAAGACTTAGAAATAAGTACCAAACTAACACAAACTCTTCCCCTTATATTGCTAATTATCTTCACTGCAGTTCTTGCTATCTACAACCATTGTCTGCTCCACGTATTAACTAATCCTGTCCCCCAACAGAGTAATACTCACTCCTGGCTTCCTACCAGCTACACTTTTATGTCCTTCAACTCTCAAGACTTTTAGTTAGAAATCCTGTTCCACCACTACTCAAACTTTGGCTAAAGCTCAAAACTTCATGCCTCTTAGGTGCATTTCACAAAGCACTCAGTGCTTACAACACTCCAGATTAAATTGTCCTTGTAAATGTCTACAAGTTATCTAAATTAGTTTTATTATAACATCCACTCTACATCTTCAGGTTTTCATATCCATTAGCCTGAAATCCTTAAATACGAAACCTTCTCTCTGATTGTTTGGTGAATATGAACTTAGTGTTCATGAAGTTTGAATGTCATCACTTTTCTGATACTGACCTCAGGCATTTCTCATTCCTTTCCACAAGGAAAACAGATTAGTCAAGTTGCTACAAGTCCTGACACCTGTGTAACTCTTAGTTACCACAAACACCAGCTGAGCCTAATTTTTCCACCGACTCTCCAAATCCCACATCATTCCTCCTTACTAAAACAAACCAGAGAAAATGCCTCAGAAATGTCACTTGAGACCAGCTCAGAATGACCCAACATTCTTCATCACTTTGGGATTCAAGTCTGCACCGGGGCCCAAGGCTTCCCTTATTTATATCCACTTATTTATGTCTATTTCCTTCTGCAGTACTTCTTCCTTTCCTAAATTCATAGAACCATAGAATATCCTGAGTTGAAAAGGTTATAAAAGGATTACCAAAGTCAAACTCCCGGCCCTGCAAAGGACCACACCAAGAATCACACTATGCTGATTCGACAGTGCTGTCCAAACACTAATGTTAGACTTAGTACCCTAACCACTTCCCTAAGGAGCCTGTCCCCGTTCTCAACAACCCTCAGGGCGAAGAAACTTTTCCTAATATCCAACCAAAACCTCCACATCTTCATGCCGTTGTCGCAGGCCCTTCACTGGTCACCAGAAAGAAACGTCCCTCCACTTCCCATGGTAGCTGCCGACTGCTGTGAGGTTCCCCCCAGTCTCTTCTCCAGGCTGAACAAGCCAAGCGACCTCAGCTATTCCTCATGCGACATCCCCTCTAGACCTTTTACCATCTTTATAGCCCCGCTTCAGACATTTTCTGACATTTCTAACGACTTCTCTGAGCTTTCCCCATGATCTTACTACCTGTGGTTTTTCAAACTATCTTTCGGAGCATCGACAACACAGCCCGAAGCCCCTTCTCTCAGGGTGTGAGGTGAACTTTTTGGCTCCCCTTGAGAGAGGCCCTACGGATGGGTCCAGCAGAGCCGCCGCATCCCCTGAGAAAGGCGAGAACGCCACAAGCGCGGAAGCCCGGGGAAAGCGAAGCTATTTCGGGCAGGCCCGGGGGCACCTTGCGCATGTTTTTAAATCCGGGCCTCCGACGCGGCTGCGTGACCCCTGCTTCCACCCGCGGTGCCGCCGCCACCA